GATCTAGTATGTCTCTTTGTGGGATTGTATCTGCTTAGGTTCAATTTTCGGATGTTTGTTGTCGAAGTCAGAGGCTGCTTTTGTTGAGGGTCAGATTTATGTTGTTTACAATATTTGTCAGGTTAGCTGTGTGAAGTAATACGTCGGGTGTTGAGTCTGGGTTTCCGGCCATCAAATATGTTGGAGCTGTCTGTATTTTTCTGAAGTCAGAATTGTCCAAGAATCTATTTAGATACGGATTGAATACATTTTTTTCAAACTGACAATTAGATAGTGATCTTTGCATCTGACATAATACAATTTCCTGCTTGTAAATGTCTGCTAAAACATGCCTTTGGAAATTAATCTCCCGTCTATTTATTGACGCCCATAAAAACTATACAAGTCTATTTTATTGACGGCTATTTACTAGAGGTGGTTTCTCATTTTAGCAATTCAATTAAGCAATTACATCCGTTTTTTAAATACAAGGTCTTATAACTGCCATTTTTATCAGTTAATTGGTAATATCTTCGCTTTAAATTTACTGTAATTATCTCAATTATGTGTTAATATAATTGAGCCAACTGGAAACTGATTATTACACAACAGCTTATAATAAATGTTTATTATATACAATTGTGTCGATTGTGTATCAAAAGAAAAAATATGTAAATATCGATTGTATATTCGGAATATGAATGCTAACACGTATTACTGCTTCAACTAGATTTGTACATAATTGTTCTACACTTGAATTCACTAAATAAAATTCCATCAGTCAAGTCCAAGGTCACAAATTTACAGTAATTCTTTGTTCGCTGCAACGCAAATTATGTTTCAATTTGTCTAATAGCAGGAGATACATTTGAACTTAAGAACAGATAAGCCATGACGGTTAAATTGTGATTAGTTGTAATGCAACGTGAGTTTCTTACATATTGACCTCTACACGAAGTCCGCCTCATTTTAAAAGGTTTGACTGTCAAAAAAAGTTAATTTTTCGTTGTATTCGACAAGTACTAGTTTTTAAAGCAAGTGGAGAACTTTAGAACTGTTTTGTAATTCCCTGAAAAGGAGTCTTTTTAGTTGAAATCCTCCCGCGGCTACCCAACTTTACGTTAATCAACTCTGAGGCACCCTGAAGAAATAAGATAACGAGTCAGCCTTAAGTTAGTAAAATAATTACTCGCCCTAATGAATATTGCATATGAAAATGCATTCTCAGGACATTAGAACAAAATAACCACAAATATACTAAAAGGTCATTATAAGTACAAAGAAATAAACGGAAGGTTCTCGCCTTCAGATCGGCAATTTATTCCAATATTTTTATGAATTAAAATTTAGTGTCATTTTTATTTACATGGCTTGTTTCCATACTTACCATAAACATAAGAAAAGTGATTTTGAAAAATATTATATACCGTTTTCAATTCTACAAATTTTCGTCCGCCACGCTTCACTTGCACTGCAAATGGCACATCCAAAACTTTAAAATATCCCAAAAAGATGTAAAATTCAATCGCTTAATGGAAACTTTATGATGAAGTCTTGAAACGCAAACTTGTCACATTTTAAAGTTGAAAATAAAATTTTCGTTGTGATTGATCAAACTTGTGATAAAGTAAATTATACAGGGTGACCCAACGGGAATCGCCGCGATTAATATCTGACAAACTATAATTAGGAGAAATTGGAGAGTGTGCAGAAGTCATTGGGGACAAGCGATCTAAAATATCTCCAAGATAGCCACACTTCCGGTTATACTGGAAGAAGGTATCAACTTGCTTGTTTTACATGGAACACCGTATATACTATTACATTTTGAAAATCTACTCCAAATTCTAAATATATTTCGTGAATAATATTATATACCTAACCGCTTCGATATATTTGATGTAAACATTACAGTTGCAGCCACTCGAATAATTATTGATGTTTCCTATAAGGAAATATGTGCTACTTACTCTCAGTCGCATTTATTGTTGAAAAGGACTTACTTTAATGGATTTTCGACAACATTTTGATAACTATTAATAGAAAGTGTATATATATGTACAAAATAAGTTTTAAAATGGCATTGAGAAAACCGCCCTAAATAATTTTTTTTCAAATGAACCCCTCTCCCCTTTTGATAATTTTATCGTACTCAGTACTATAAAGAAGATTTCCAGAAGTGTTTAGTTTTCGAAATATTGTCAATTTAATGTTTTCATATGGCTATTTTATCTCATCTCATTAGTCTATTTCGTTTTTGACTTTGTCATCCGGGCATCTACAAGTTCACTTCCTATCCGAATGTTTTTTGTGAAACGTATTTATGCAGTAGAGACGTTCTTTGCTGAGAAAGTTTAGCATCTTTTGTCCTCCATGGTTTCGCATGCACGGTCACTCTGAAGGAATGCTCCCGGCTGTCATATGGAGTGTTGAAAAATTGCGTAATTACTTAGAGGGAGTACATTTGGAGGTGATAACTGACTATCATTCTTTTGTAGTTACATAACTTGAAGGATCCTCAGGGGCGGCTTGCTCGCTGGGCTCTTGGGCATCAACCGTACGACTTCAAGTTCATCCATAGGAAGGGTAAAAATCACGTTGTATCCGATTTCCTCTCTAGGTCGGTGAGCAGGCACCAGCAGATGTTTCACAGACTGGAGGAACATCCTGAGAAATTTTCTTCTTGTTCTCTGAGTTCTCAAATTCCACGAATCGTTGGAAACTGCTAGTCCCCAAAGGTCACCAAAAAGTTCTTCTCCATCAATGTCACGACATACCAAATTCTGGTCACATGGTATCTTTAAGACGTTTTGGAGCATTGCCGAACGATTCTATTGGCCTCGAACTAAATATGTCCGCAGTTGTCAAGTTTGTGCTCAGGATAAAATCGAGTCAAATACTCCTGTTGGAATAATGGGAAATTGACTCCTAATCACTCAACCTTCCTTGGCAGTTCATCAACCTCGATTTTATCCTCCCCTTATCTCGCTCAAAGCAAGACAATACCTACATCCTGGTTTGTCACGGAAATATGTAGTCCTGCTTTGTGTCACTCAGCTAATTCCAAACCCTTAGTGAAATTTGTAGAACAAGAAATATTTATGGTGTACAGAGCTCCACAACACTTAACCTGTGACAATTGCATCCCCATTAAATCCAAAGAATTAGTTAGTCCCTGTCTGACAAGTATAACGTCAATATATTTTACAGCACATCTTACTATCCTCGATAGGATCAGACAGAGCGGACTAATCGGGAGGTGAAAATCATGTTGAAGTCCTACGTACAACAAGACCATCGCCGTTCATGGGAGGATATCTTGCCGGCCATTGGTTGTGCGATACGGACAGCACGTTTTGTTTGGGAACGACTTGGTTCCCGGAGTTTCGTCAACTAGTACTGGGCCGCAGCATTTTATCGGCCCTTTCCACCTATCGGAATTGATACAATTTGCGAATACGTCCTGTTACGTATGTTGTGGGAGAAAAATAGGAATCTCGCTCCTATCTTGGCATCAAACTCTCCGAGTGTGATGGATGAGGTGGTGTTTTCTGACTTTTTCGCGGTAGACAAGTCTTCATTGAATTGTTCTAATTCTTCATCAGTCGATGTGGAAGTAGGTGCATATGCAAATAGTTAGTAGACTGACACGGGCGACCAACTTGATAATCACGTATATCACTCTACCTGATATAGATTTGGTCTTGATGACTAGATATTTCCTTCTTTTGTCAATGAGCAGAGCCACGCCGCCAATATGCGAATTGGAATAATAGGTGGCCTGACTTAAGGATGGTACTAGGTTCTCCCTTTAGCCTTGTCTCACTGGTTCCACTCACCTTCCATTTGACGTTACTCAGTTCGTGTTATAAACAGGCGAGGTGTTCTTCACTTCTGATGGTACGGATATTATATACTGCAGCATATAAAGTGTGCCTTAGCTTGTCTCTTTCTCTAGGTTTGTGGCCCCTGCCCCCAGATTACATTAGGTAGGCTGACATTTCGGTGCAAGATTCTGAACTTTTAGTTTTGCTTGGCTAAGGTATACTTGTTTTGAATTTCGACATTTCCATTTAGGGAAGGTTTGGGTCTATTTAGAGAATTGAATTTTCTCAGACGAAATAACGGTTATAAAGTCCTCACTCGGTCGTCAGAGCCTTGTTTGTAACGGTTTGTAACAGGTAAACCTTGCTATTTGATATCTGTCAAAGGTAAACGTCATCCGAAGCGTTTTTGTATTAGTTGAAGTTTTGCCATTTTGGAATATGGATCGTTTAACTGTCGAAAAACGCGTAAAAATTATTAAATGTTACTATAAAAATGGTTATTCTGCTGTATCAACGTTAGGGCTTTACGAGCAGATTACGGTCGACATAATCGACCCACAGAACAAACAATTTCGAACACATTGGAAAAATTTTAAGAAACTGGATCGGTTACTGATATTGTAAGGCCTGTGCATCATCGCAACATATACGGCTCATTGTGGCGAATTTTGCAATTGGATTTGAAGCTCCATCTGTACAAAGTCCAACTGACTCAAGAACTTAAGCCTCAAGGCCATGGGTAACGCAGAACATACACAAATTGGGGGATTGACGTTGTCTTTATCTATGGATTGAACAACAAGCCGTTGATGATGATCTTTCGAACCGAATTTTCTTCCGCGATGAGGCTCATTTTTCGTAAAATTCATAAAATTTTCGTCTCCATCTGAATACTGTATGTGTTTTTTTTACTTTACTTTCCCTAGCATAAAATGGATAACCCTGTATTAGCAGGGTGCTCCACTTGCAGGTGACGTTGACTTTGGAGAAGGAGAGGCTATGAAAGTCGCGTCACTTCCCTATTGTATCATAAAGCTAATCTATGATACCTACACCTCGAGGTATTAAATTATGGTATTTATTGTGTTAGTTATACCATACCCGGGTAGTTGATAGAATAGCTGAGATAAAATTAACTATTGAGCTGAAGGCTGTATAAAATCAAATTATTATTTATGGTATTCATTGTTATAGGGATGCAGCACTTGCTGATTCTTGAACCAGAACCTTGGGGAATGCCTCTAAATGAAACCTTATTGCCTCAGCACTTGAAAAGGAACGGTTACGTAACGAGGGCCATTGGAAAATGGCACTTAGGATTTTACAAAAAGGAATATACGCCCACCTTCAGAGGATTTGATAGTCACTACGGTTATTGGCAAGGCTTTCACGATTATTATGATCACACAATCCGAGCTACGGTAATTATCTACCAAGTCAGGGGTGGAGGATAACATTAAATTCCGGATTTTAAATTCTGATCACCTTTGTTGACTCTGACATGAAATACGTATAAGATTTACGTTTTCTCGATGCAATTATTTGATGAACAGATTTCGGTGAAATCGTTTTCACAATTAAATCAAAATTTTATTGCACGACTGCCATCATATCACAAATACAGCCATTAACTAAACAACCAATTAGCTTCACAATGCTTATAGATGTTTAACGATTGCTTATAGCCCAAGTTTGGAGCTTAAAATTGTTTATAGCTTGAGTCATTTTTGTTTAATGAGTATTAATTATAGAAACAAATAACAACGAAGATGGTTATTTTTTTAATGAATTACTCTAGAATGTGATTTTAATATTTATATGTAGGTATAAAGCATAAGCCACATCATGCATATTGTATATAAATAGATTATCGTCGTTTCCACTTTTGGAGTGAAAATTATTTTTTACAAATTTGGTATTAGAACAAAGCTATATTTCCATTAAATCAAGGTATACAGAGTTTCAGGAATTATTTGAGCGTCTAAAATTCAACGTTCAACTTAGCAAATTTAGAACCCACATTTTGATAAAACTTTTTTTCAGTTTAAAACTCAACATATTTTTTCGTATTTAGTTCAACATTACTTCCGCAATAGCTGATTTTAAAGAAATTTGACTTTCCTTTTTTGGTATGTCTACTTAGTATAATCCATTTTTGTAGATAACTCTTTATACAATTATAGTAAGTATTTTAACAATTTTCAGTGGCGTTGTTACCAAAAATGAAATTCAATTAACGATTCTGATTTTGGGAAATAATTTATGACTAATAAGAGTAATCAAGAATACACTGATGCGTTTGATTTACGGGCAACATTCTCTTGAAATAAAATATTTTTGATTGTCTTTTATCTATTGGTCAAACTTTTACCAGAACTAATTTAAAATTAGGAGTATTTTCTAAATTATAAAGAAAATAAAAAAAATCTATTAAAATCTATTTGTATCAACGAGCAAACAATGCACAAACATCATTGTATTCGCAAATACTACACACAACTCAATTTCAGAAATCAATGTTAAGTGTACGGTCTTTATTTATAAACAATCTGGAGAAAGTGTAAACTTTAGTACAAAAGCAACCAGTTATATTTAAAAAAATCGCAAAATTAACTATGATCATTTGGATTATTCAACTGGTAAATTTTACAACTCAATTAATCACCATCAACAAAAATAATTAGAAAATACCTATACTTTTCGTATTAATATTTTACCGGTTGGGATCAACACAGTGCCTTTGGCTATTCATTGTGTATGCTGGTGTAAAGCTGACGATACCGATTTTTTCATTTCAAACAGTAATTTCACGTGTCAATCAAATCTAGTGAATTGAACGTCTCATAATGCAAAATATTTGTTTTAGTATTCCAAAGAATATGGGTACGATTTTCGTCGCAATATGACTGTAGACTGGGATGCCAAAGGCAAATACTCAACGACGCTCTTCACTGAAGAGGCAGTAAAGCTGATTCGTGAACATGATACCAACCATCCAATGTTCATGTATTTCGCTCATCTGGCTGCTCACGCTGGTAACGATCAGGATCCTCTTCAAGCACCCGATGAAGAAATTGCGAAATTCGCTCACATTAAAGATCCGGAAAGAAGAATTTATGCAGGTACGACAAGTATAATTTTTACACTTTTAATTTTTTTGTCGTATGTATAATGATTTAAAAAAGTAGCAGAAGGAAATAAACAGTCACACACACTCATTATGAAGTGAAGTTATGGTTGTACTTCATATCAGGTTCTGCTTGCAGCCTACGGATGCAGCCTTTATCTATTAGTGCCATTTAGTTACCCCGATCAAAAGGGATTCTGTTTTCTCATGAACTGCGTATTTTAATCAAAGGTAAATTATGTAATTTTACCCTTGAATATTAAATATGGCCAAGCATTTTCGAGAATTACGACGAGTCGAAAGCGCTTGGCCATCTTTAAAAGTCATGAGTCAAATTACATCATTTACCCTTGATTAAAATCTTCACACTTCATTACAAAACAAAATTTACTTTGATTGGAGTTTCTTCAGTTTGTACAGAGCCGCTTTCTTCCCCTATTTAGTTTCCCCTACTGATTGCAATCCGATCCGGATAGATATTTAAGAAATAATCGCATTTAATTTATTTCAGCTATGGTTTCTATGTTGGACAAAAGTGTTGGATCAGTAATAACAGCACTACGTGAGAAACACATGTTGGAAAATTCAATTATTGTTTTCATGTCTGATAATGGAGCTGCATCAGATGGAATTCATGCAAACCACGGATCCAACTATCCATTCAGAGGAGTAAGATTTATAAAAAAATTCATAAACTTAATCTATACCGAAACACCGCATATCCTCAATAAGTTTTCTGGGGCCTATAGTCGCTACTGAAACTAAACTATTGCTAAACTATCACTGGTCCAACCCTTGAGTGCAAGAGATTTATTGAGGCTTCCTAAAAACTTCTAGTTATTGGTGGGTAGTTGCCTTTCCATCGTTTATACAAGCGGCCTGATTATCCACGGGCTAAGATAACTGAGTTTCTCATGTAATATGAAACCTTTGTATATGTGTGTGTTGTGTAAAAGAACTTTTTCTGCATTGAATCTATCAAATTTTGATGATTTTGGTGCGCACATTTCCGATTTTTCGCAAAATTAATTTTTCTGTTCAAATAAGCATGTTGGAAGTAACACAGTGGACATAAAAATGTCCTTTCAGTAATTATACAACTAAATTTAGGTTTTGAAGACATCCGTTATTTTAAATTTAAGAATAAAAATTAATTTTCTTAAATTTTAGATCAAAAGTTCCAACTGGGAAGGTGCAATGAGGAATATTGCTGCAGTTTGGAGTCCACTTATTAAGAAACCCAAACGCGTTTCTAACAACTTAATGCATATATCTGATTGGCTTCCAACATTATTTACTGCAGCAGGTAATATATATTTAATAAAACATTAAAGCATGATACTTAGAATGGAGCGATTTGGAGCAAGGAAAATGTTTCAGGAAGTTATGGAACTATCAAGAAAATATTAATTCAATCTGGTTTTCGGCAAAGGTTCAAATGTAAAATATAATTCATTTTTTCTTAGTGGACAATTACATCTGTTAGAACCTACAAAGGCTACATTTGATATCATTCTAACTTAAATCGAAGAGTGTTTTCAAAGGGAGGGTCTGCTAGTTTGAAACTTTACCGTTTTCATTAAATGTTATATTTTCTACTTTTTTTTACTTAGTTACCCACACTTTTTCTACTGTGCTAAATTATCGGAACTTAAATTTCCACATAAGTCCAGTTGTATTCTCAAAAATACAACGAACTCGCTATCCGACAGAATCAACTAATGTCGTCTAAAACCTATTTAATGATTGAGTTACATATTTATACTACCATAATGTGGATAAACTAATCAAAAAAAATTATCGTCGTTTCTCATTCAAATATTACGACTAGTGACAAAGCACTATATTTCAATAACTTTTGTAAATAATTGTGGTTATTTATTACGTAAGATAGTGCAAGTGTAGAAGTTCGCCAACCTCAGGCACCCCCAGGACCGGTTTCGAGCCTATTAGCGAATCACCCAATGCAATCACAAAGGGACGGAACTTGAACTACTCCTATTATATGGCGACGCCGAATTCAAGTGTAGGTTCAGCGATCTCCAATTTCAGGCTAAACCTAGCTGATGATAGCTAATAGGCTCGAAACTTGTCCTGGGTGTGCCTGAGGTTGGCGAACCTCTAAACTTGCACTATCTTACGTAATAAATAACCATAATTATTTAGAAAGTTTTTGAAATATAGTGCTTCTTCACTAGTCGTAATATTTGAATGAGAAACTATTATTTATTTTTTTGCCTAGTTAAACTACATTATGGTAGTAAAAATATGTAACTCTATCATTAAATAAATAAAGAAGAGAGATATACACCCACGCATAATAATTACCATTGCCTAGCTAAACACCAATAGCTACACACCCATGAAAGTAGCAGATACGCTGTCCGAGAAAATACCCGTAGCAACTGAATAAGAGAGGGAGACAGTCTAAGCTCCACCCTATTCCACATAATGATGGGCGAAATTATCACAGAGGTCAAGAAGATGGTGGTAGGATATAGGATGGAACACAAAGTTCGAGCAAACAGCGACGAGCAAAACATAGTATCTAACTAAGGAGCCGAGCCCTTAGCCATAGCCAAGGAGCCGAGCATATGCAGACTCGTCGTATATGGAAAGAGTGTTGAACAAGTGACTAATTTTAAAAAGCTAGACGTCAATATAACAAGCAGCAGGGACTTGGAGAAAGAAGTGAAAGTACAAACAATAAAAGCTTTGTTGATATTGGGTTATCTGCGCAATATCATATGGAGAAACAAGTACATATATGTCTGTCGAGGGCAAGCCAAGAATATACAAAACCTGTGTAAGACCGATCATGACATACGCTATCGAAACCAAAGCAGAGAACGCCACAACGACGCGACTTCTCAGAACAGCAGAGATGAGAGCTCGGCGTCTCGCAGCCTGTTATGCCTGCAGTTTGCGACACCACAATAGCAGCGTTGCCATTAGAACAGTGCGACAATCAAGGTATGGTGAGATGGGACCGCAATAGAAGAAGAGAGTGGAGAGACCATGTGGGCAGGATAGACAATAGTCTATCCTGCCCACATGGTCCTGCCCCGAGTCTATTAAAAATTGCGCACCGGTATTGAAAAGACCTCCTGGAAGACCTCTACCCCAATAGGATGACACGACAGATGGATCGCGGCCTCTCAACTACGGTTGTAATCGCCAAGGACAGGATGCAATCCTACAATAAAGAAGAAAATATTTGATATTCACCATATTAAGATTTTATTGACAATTTTCCATTTAATGGCATGCAGTTTTTCACCATAATAATGTAAAACACTTTATTACAATTGGTGTTGCAAATAAAAGTAAACAGTTTGAATAACTTGGTATGAATTATAAAGAATATTTTTGTAAAGTTCTAATCCCAACCGTTTACAAAGTTTGTCTGATATAAATAATTTTAATTTCCAGGACTGGATCACTCCCAGCTGTCTTCCTCTTTAGATGGCAGGGATCAATGGAAGGCCATTTCTGAAGCTGAGTCATCTCCAAGAACCGAAATTTTACACAATATTGACGACATTTTCAATACTAGATCTATTAGGCAAGGAGATTGGAAGTACATTTATGGTTCTAGTGGTAAAGCAGATGAATGGTACGGAAGCGTCGGCAAAGATGCTCTGTATCATTACGACAAAGATTCTGTGATAAATAGTCCCGTGGGTACTGCCATTTCAGGAGTAATAACATATCAGCAAATCAAGGAGAAAAACGACAAACTATCAGGACATAAAAGTGAGAACTTTTCTGTTTCAATATTAGATACTAAAGAGATTGAAAACCTTCGTAAAGAGGCAACAATTGTATGCAGGAAACCCACACCTGAAAACGAACTGGAAAACAATCAATGTAACCCGATCATATCGCCATGTCTATTCAATATTAAAGATGATCCTTGCGAAGTGGTTAATCTAGCGACTCAGCGGCCATTGATCGTGATCACTTTAGAGCAGGAAATTATTAAGTACAGAAATACCGCTCGCGACCCCATTAATATCCCCAGAGATCCAAATGCCGACCCAGCTAAGTACAATGGAGTGTGGACAAATTGGCAAGATATTGAAGTAATATCTGAAAAAATTCAATTTAGAAGTTTATCTCACCTCGCAATTGCTCTAATATCTGGTGCATGTGTAGCTGTAGGCCTAATAATGGTAGTACTGCTGACGTTGACGTGTAGAAAAGCTCCCAAAAGAAGCAACCCATCACTATATGAGCCGGCGCCATTTACCGAAATGGAATGCAAATCCGATAACAGATTTGAAGAACGAGAAAAGCAATTGCGGACTAGCTTGAAAGATGAGTTTAGAGAAGTTTAGTGTGATAATGAGCATTATGGATATTTTTAATTATAAATATTCTTTAGTGCAGAAAAGTTGGATGCTTCGAACATTTTCACATTGGAAAATGATTCATTGAACGCTTCGTAGAAATAGTTAACTTATTGTACAAATTTTTTATTCATTAAAACGGGTAACTTCCTAAGAATATTTTATTTTAAGGTTTACTGTGTTTTACTGACAACTGAACTGAAACAAAAACTTGTACTAATTACCATGTGTTCGGATTCATGTAATGCCTCATATTTTGATTATTTAAAATTGTGGATAAATCCAAGTCACCACCCAATAAACTACATGTCAATGTTTCCTGGAGCCACTTGGTTTCTTCGTTGTTTCATTGTTAGAAACTGTCCCTTTTATAAAATATTTCGTAATTTATGCTAACTTTCATTTAAGATGTGTATAATAACATTTATATGTCACTTACTCGGAAATATTTTTTTTTATACAGATATATATAAAAATATAAGTCTATTTCACCCAAGTAACAATAAACGTAACAATCGCGTAACTGTACATAAAAGATATTAATATTCTAACCGAGTTCGTCATAGCAAAGTAGGAAAAAGATCAAAAATGGAAAAGTCAAGGTATTTCGCATTACCTGGATAGATTTGATGCAAACATCATTTAAATAGTTTTTTGCAACAATTAGGGAAGTATTTGTATATGGGGTGTCAATTTGGAAACTTTCCACCCTTAATATCTTTCTTGTAGTTAAAAATATGAAAAATCGGAAAGACACGTCAATTTTATTTGTAAAGGGGACACTGTAAATCACTGTTTTTAGTTTTCTCGTTTCAATTCCCTAGGAGGGGTATATGTCACGCTTAGAACCTTAAATGGGAAGGGTGTGTAGTGGTTCATTGTTTTAAAGAACTTTCATTTCTCTTCTCAGTAGCATCCTACTTTGTTGCTTTTGGTCTAGAGTTTCCCAAATAATCGTGAAGAGAAATTTCTTATAGGTTGTTCAAAATATTGTCTTTTTTCCTGTAAACATTAATAAAGTCTACTTTCAAACTCCTCCCAAACAATTCGGAAAACGGGACCGGGAATTGAGTATCATTCTGCTGCAACTCGCCTTTTAAGTTCATCAATATCAGCAGGTTGTGTTTTATAAACACTGGACTTAAGATGTCCCCAAATAAATAAGTCTAAGGATGTTAAATCAGATGATCTTAGAGGCCATTCAATTGGTCTTCCAACTTCTGCCAATCCATCCATCCGAAAATATCGTTTAACCGCTGCCTTGCTGGAAGAAAATAATGATGTGGACCAACCTCCTGCTGAAATGTTAACAAATCCTCCTGTAAAACTGAATTACCCTCTGCATCAATTTGAGTTTCGAACTCAATTCAAATCAAATTATGCTTTATTGCCACGAAAAAATTCACAAATTTTATGGACAAAACGAGTAAAAAAAACAAAACAAAATACTACATAAACTACGTACAGTACAGTCAACAATGGTAAAAAATAAAAAAATATAATAAAACAGTACAAAATATATCACGTACAATCGTCATGGACATACACAGAGGTCATCAGAGTAAGTCAACCACCCATCGCTACAAACGGTGTAGAATAACCACACAATTTAAAAGTGGAAAACATGGGTGAATGGAATCAAGTAGCACCCCAAACCATAACAAGGAACAACTGTTGACTCTGTTTATGATTATTGCAAGCGGATCGTGATCATACCTAAGTGATAGTTATAACAATTGACGTTAGTGTCCGAGATATTAGACACTCATAGGTGATAAGCTGATAAATCACTAATTAATTAAAAACTAAAGTTTTCAAATTGACACCCGGTATAGCCTACCTATACAGCATTTTAGAGACGTAATTTGTTATTTCCAGGTCAGCAAGTGAAGTATCTTCTAGTAATGCAGGTAAGGTCTTATGCAATGATTTAACTAACGTATTTTGATTCTGTAGACGTTTTTCATAAGTGATAATACCGCTTAATAGCAATCTAATAGTTTATTTATTATTTTAATAAATTAGATAAATAGTAATAATTTGTTTCCTCTATTTAATAGTAGTATAAATATAAAAACAACAAAAGCAACAGAAATTAACTACAAAACATTAACAATAACTAAACCTATAGGTGATGTTAGTGCTTGGAGCGTGTTTATTATTAAACCAATCAATGTATAAGCTACATCAGCATCTTCTTTGCTTACTTTCCTGAAAAGAAAACGTTGCGTTAAAGTTAATATGCCAACTTCCAACAGTAAATTTCTCTTTCATGGAGTCCAGTAAAATTCAAAATTAATTAAATGTTATAATTCTGTTTTAACATTTACATATTTTGCACCTATATAAAGTGCTTAAGGAAGGCAAACCCATCGATAATTTAAAATAGTTGAAACAAGTGCACTATTGTAACATAAGTTTTTAACTCAAATTATATACTTACTTTGGAACCACCAGTATGGACATGTTTAATATAAGGCCACTGGTAAGCATAAATGTCGCCAGTATAATACCGTATTGATAATCATGGGGAAATAGAACTGGTAGATGATTTCTAGGTTGAGCATTACAAAGCCATATGAGGGGTACTAGAACAAGCGTTCTAACTATGCTGACTAATAAAAATGGACCTTCCGGGATATCCTACAAGAACATTAGTTGATTAGCAATTGCTAATAAAATATAAATGTAATTATGGAAACTTACTATGGTTATGGCTGATGCCATTAAACGGCCTGCTAGCATGCACACGTCCGATAGGAAGAACGTCATCACGGGACTGAAGTAATTAGCTAAAAAAATTCGTTCCAATGTTCAGTACCATAAGTTTTGAAAGCTCATGTTAAAAATAGGGCTGTTTTAATTAAAATGACTAAAGCGGACATAAAAAAGAGACATTTCTTCGGCAAGTCGCAAAAGTAGAGAATGTACGAGTAGTTCGAAATAATCATAATTCTGATCATCGACGACTTCATTTCTAAAATGAAAACAATTATTAAGGCTAGCACCATCTAAGCATAAATTTTTTGACTCTTTTTGATTTTTGTTATTATTTCAACGATGTATATATAATCGTTTAACATGTGCGATCTTTGTCGATTAGAAAAATAAATCGTTGAGTTACTTTGTTTAGCAAAAGCGGGCAATGTCCGGCAAATTATTTTAATATCCTAGATATTCGTTCAGTAGACAGATGATTTGAATCTCGGACTCTCTTTCATAACAAAATAATTGGTTTAAACTACTTCAGTATCTTTTTTTTTCATTTCTACCTGGGTTTGCTCTGTTGAGTACCTTCACACGTAATAGAAGCCTTAAAGAAGAAGTCCGAACACAAACCACAGCAGCAGCTAGGGAATCAGGATATCTCCGGGAGATAATATAGAGAAATAAATATATAGTACTGAAGACAAAACGCGAATTTATAAGACGTGTGTAAGACTTGTGACGTAGACTTGCCTTTGCCATAAAAACACGAGCAGAAACAGCCGCTACTAACCAACTGCTAAGAACAACCGAAATGAAGACAATAAGATCAATTAGCAAATGCTTAGGTGCAAAGTTTCGTTCCATTCGTGGATAAGAACTAAAGACTCATAGTAAACTTTTAAGAGCTAATAATACTGAAGAAAAGTGTAAATTCTCGTTTTTTAAAGGGCGCAAATTTTCGACAAACTGGAAGAAGGAACAGACTCTAAAAATTTGATGCTCAGTAAGGTATGACCTCAAGAAAAAACTTGAAAGTCCAAGTTCTGACAACCCACACTCAAAAGTATGAACCACTTAACTCAATGCTGTTTGCATCTCTATTGAAACAAAATCTACAGAGTTTCTGTGAACTGCTTCAAAGATTTCAAAAATTTGCTTTATATTTTATGAATGATGCGCAGCAGGGTTTCCTCTTTCACTTAGGGCTAGCCACGGTTTTGAGCGTGTGTTCTGACCAGTGATTTTCTATACGTTATTAAAAAACACATGTTCTGAGACATGTAATTACTGAGAAAATAATTGATGGTGGTCCAGTTTCCAGAGTGGAAGCCTTACTGAACGATAGAGAATTTAAAACCAATATGAGCTTGCATTCTAAACTGTATTCGATAAACACTCGCTTCGTAAATACAGAATGTTTAAGTTTGGCTTAAAAAAATATTTTTTTACTGGAAAACGCGTTGCACAGAGAAATTGAAAGAACCCGCTTTTTATTCAAATTGAATGAATAATCCAAACGTGATCGTCATTCTATGAAAAATCAGTAATATTTCGAACATATTATATCAATATATATGATATATATCATTTCAGAGTTCAATTTTTTCATTCTTTAAAGAATCCCATTAACGTGGGAGTACGTACGGACTGACAAAACAAGAAAAATGAGTTCCACATTTGGCAGTTATCGCTTGCAGAAATTCGTTTAAACATTGTCAACAAATAATAAAGCCGCTAAAAAAGTTCCTTTCATTTAATTAACGGACACTAACATCTTCATTCGGCATATCCAGGAGTCACAGCCTCAACTTGAGAACTGAAATACCCTTATTGAGATGCTGCGTGTTCTCAGTCCTTTTATATGGTCTCCAGTCTTGGACACTATCGGAAGCATCTATGAAAAAACTTGAAGCTCGATGCGAAAAATGTGATGAACAGGCGTATACTCAGAATCTCTAGGTTGGAACATGTAAGCAACGAAGAGGTACTACGTAGAATGAGAAAAGGTCATAAAATCCTCAACGTAAAACCGCTGAAGCTTGATTACTTGGATCACATAATGCGAATCAAACATCGATATGGCCTATTGCAACTAAGACTACAACGAAATATTTATGGAAGAATGGCTCCAGGAAGAAGAAGAATCTCTTTGCTTCAGAACTTACAGAAATGGTTCTCCATGAGCACTAGAGGACTTTGCAGAACAGCAGCTAGCCAAGTCGAATTAGCCAGATTAGTAACCAACATCCCAAAAGGATAGACAGTATGAAGAACATTTTCATTATTAACTTGTTGTTGCTCCGAATTGTACCCCATTTATGGAATATCAGATATGCAGGCACGATCGTCTTTCTCTATACATGATTTGTATAGAACCGACAAGAAAGAGAACTAGTTCTTCCAATGGTATGCTTTGGCTTCACTCATTAAGTTTTGGGGCGGCTAATTAGCACAAAAATATATAATTTTGAAATATGTAAAAAGTTGAACATATTCAGAAAATTCACCAAATTTTCTGAATTTCGTATTCTATTGTATACATACGTATTGTGACATGACGATTGAGGTTTCAACTTTCTGACAATAGTATACAGATGAAGTAGGTTCGAAACTGTGTTGAATTGAGGTCTGATTTGATAGAAACATTTTTTTTATCAAAAAGAAAGAACCTCCATAATATTGACTTTAACATTGAATTCTGAAAAGGTCTATATAGTATATATGACTATTCTTATCGACGCGATCTCTTTTTACTTTGCCTTTAAATAAAATAAACAAATTTGGGACGCATTGTAAATGTTGATGGATAAGTCCAGTAAGACTAATATGGCAACTTGAACTACTTACTAGACCATGTGGTATCCGTCTGCTCTGAAACTACGAGTGCAGTTACAGCTGTATGTGTAGCTGCGTAGCTAGTAACAAATATAGCAAATAAAACTACAGCAAATTTGATTTTTGAGAATACTTCTATGATTTGCTTTTTACCAGGCATCGTTTTGTTGACATCTTCTGGTAGCGACTGAATACTGTGGCTAGAAATAAATAAAAATAAAAAATGAAGCAACTTCACAACGTGTTCGAGTCTTAGTCAATTCGGTTTATATTCAGTCATAGCTTGAGTTGCTTCTCTAAAGTAGGTATTATTTCTTACTAGTGTAAAATAAATACATATAATAGTTTAACTTAAAATATAAAAGGAAATTTTATTTCAATTGTACATTTCGATTAACTACATGAATATTTTTCGAATTAGACAAAACTGTATGGCAATTTTCCTCTTAGATTTGAATTATGTGGAAATTCACTGAAAATATTGTACCGTGGATGGCCGAGTATTTAAACTCTTTCCTCAGCTTACAACTTTTATTCCACTCGGTACAACTTTAACTACGGAACAGGAACAAACTAACTTCTAAAATTAATGTCAACTTCACAAACGATAACAATAACACACGGAAAACACGGATTTCCGACTCGCGGGTTTAACTTCTTCTGCACTCAGGCGCGGCTGTCACTTCACTCTCCCCCGTCTGGTTCTCGTCGTCGCTTATATCCTTTTCTCCAGGTATTCCAGATAGTTCTAGAAATCTCCAGAACAGGTGCGAAACTTCCCGCTTGTCAGTGTCATATTTGACAGTAAATGGGGCCCAAATGGGGCTCCCATTTACTGAAATACCATGAATTTCGATCCCCCATTCCAAACGTGAGTACCCCAGGCCATTTCCGTTACAATATTGTTCTCATTGACGTTCCAAACTTAGTATTGTCCAAATAACAAAATGAAAAATGATTTGCAGATAAAATGGACAAAGCTAAGCGCAAGATGGTTTCGTCATGGTTTTGATAATAACGTTTCAGTACCCGTACTAGTTTTAGCAGTTTGTTGGAGTCAAGCTGAAGAATGAATCACGATGTAGCACCATAAAGACGAAAATGCTAAAAAATATATGCTAGCTATATATGAAATCTATGATAGCTTCTCATTTTGGGTGAAGCAAATCAAGGATGCCGTATGTTTTACATCAACTAGGACATTATAGTAAACTCTCTTTTTGATAAGGAAATCTAAGTCGTGATAGTCATACTAACGAACAAGGAAAAGTTTTTGGTATCAGCAGAGGCGTCATGAGCTTTTTAAATAGGCAAATGCAGATTTCGATGTGCGCTAACCTCAGGCACTCCCAGGGACCAGTTCCTGCACCATATCGAGGACCACGGAATAGGTAGATGTTAGTTTAGGAAGCAAGAGAGGATGTATTGGGTTAAGGTAGATTGAGTACAATTAATGTTCATTGTTCATTGATATTAATGTTCAATATTAAAATGATGGTAGTTTTTAAGGTACCCGTAGATTAAGTAGTAGTAAAAAGGTGTAATCCTTGTCTGGACATAAATATGTTCATGCTGTCGCTAATTTCAGGCTAAATCCAGCTGATGAGAGCTGATAAGCTCGAAACCGGTCTTGGGGGTGCCTGAGCTTTTTGCACCTCGAAATCTGCACTTGCCTATTTCAGTAATACTATTGTTATCAATCAAGCTTAATTCTTTAAATTGTTGGGTCGCATACATAATTGTATGTTTTCCTTATTGATGTGCAAGTGTGTAATGCACACAGATCACTTCAGTGCAAGATGGATTAAAAATGAAATTGAATGAAATTCTATACAGTATAAATTAAATGTACTTACATGAAAAATTCTGACTTCATCGTAAAGAAAGTTAGGACCCACGTGCAGCATAGAATGGCAGTGCCAATAATAAAATAGAGCAAAGTTGAGTTTGTGACGTCATCTTTAAAGATTGATATGGAAATTATATTCAATAAATTTCCCAAAATTCCCACAGATCCTTCTCCAGCTAAACAAGTGTTCATGTATTTATGAGGAAATCTTGGAAATAGCATCATTGATGCTACTATGTTAACTGTATTGGCCGCTAAAAAAATTACCGTTGATTAATCAATAGTTTTACTAGGATGCTAAAACGTACCAGTTAATGTGCAATAGCCAAGTAAAACTAACCCAAAGTAGAATAGTTGATCTGAAAAAAAAAATGCAACCAACGTATATATATGTAGGGAGTCTAGAGTAATAAATTTATAAAATGCAACTCTGTATTTCCTTCTCAAAATTAGATCCGCTTTTCCTTTCACAGCTTGTCGAAGAATTTTGCAAAATAAATAAGATGTTTAACCAAAAATGGCGCCTGAAATAACATATCAGTGCAGAAGCCACTTCTTGCTTTGTTGTGTAACGACTGTGAAAATATGACATCGCATACACCCCTTATGTTTAAAATAATGATTAAATTAAAGAATCAATTAAAGTCTGAAATATGTGCAAACAAGAGACAAGACGAGAAGAGTGATTAATCTTACGCATCTGCATCAAAGCTTGACATGAATGTGATTGGGATCAAACAGAGACATAAGCAACCAGAGGTCACAAAAACTGAAAAATACTGAATAGAAAAAGTTTATTCAACTGACTTGGGAGTAGGTTTTTTAATAAAGCCCTTAACCAAAAAAGATTAAATTATATTAAAGTACGCAATGGAAAAGAAAATCAAACCACATAATAAATACAATCAAAATTGGGACTTTGTAGAGGATAAACCAAAGTTTGTGGGCCATCAACTAAGGATCATTGGAGTTGCTAGAAAAGAATATGAAGAGGTCAATGAAAATCTTATACACAAAATGAAAAAGAAGAATTTAAGAGAATATATCGCCAAATAAAAAAATTGTAGAAGAACAAGTGTAATGAACAAAAACTGCACAATTGTCGAAGTTGAGTCACAAACAAACTATTGTTTAAATTTATATAAATTTGTGTATATCGTTTTTTTTCGCCCTTATATACAACTTTATTACAACATGTATTATAATTATAGCTCTTAATTGCTTTATTATTGTAATGTAACTGTGCTTTGTTTTGTAGTTGCTCTACTTTATGATATCAGTTTTTTTTTACAGTTAAAAATCTTAACATTAATATTGAAAAATATGTTGGAATCAAAGATGCTGACACATTTTCAGTTCATGTATTCGCTGATATAGAAATTTTTTTAAGCGATATTAGTCCTCATTTTTTCCAAAAATTAGATGTAATTGTACTTTTAAAAATTTGACATGAAATCTTACGTAGTGAGCAATTATTACAGGTGAATATTGAAAACAAGATTCATTGAAATAAAAAAACTGAAAATTTTACAAGTGTGGAAAGTACTTGACGCGTACACACTGTCTATAGGTAGTTCTATTACCATTGTTTATGAAAATATATATGTTCTTATAGAATTGAATAAAAATTATAATGAGAAATAAGCAACGTAATACTTACGATTGTCAGTGTTTATTGTAGCACTAATGGTTATCAAAGTAAAAACCATAAGTTCAATTCCAAGAGTTAGAAGAAGTCGGCTTGTTATTTTGAATTTATGTCCTCCAATTATATTAAACAAGCCAAATATGAAGGCAGGCACAGTGTTAGCTATTAAAGTCGCAGAGGCAAAATATGTTTGCAAAGTTGTCCTATTTTCCGCTGAGGTGTTTTCATCTAATGGGTCCCTAAATTTGTAAAGCCAAAACTGAAAAAGGACAATTTAAGTTCTGATGAATATGAGTAAACCGCTTCGACTACTTACATTATTAGCTGAGGCCAGGAATGAGATTGGAAGAAAATGAGAAACGCCGATTAGAAAAAAGACGATGTGACAGATGAGGTATTTATCTTTTGGTACTGGAACTTTAGGCGGTTTTTCACCATGTTTTTTATCTTCGTAGATTATGGAATCTGTAAAAAAATAGGCTCCGTTAATCTAGTGATTAGTGAGAGTAAATAATATACAAAACTCACATAAATAATAGTAAATTATAAGTTCATCATTGCTTCATTCATAATTCCGTTCTGTTAAATGAATGAATACTGAATGGATACTTTTATAATTTTTCCTTGCTGCTTACCAAAGTTCAATTTTCGAGATTATTTGTTTATTGCATAGAAGTTAATTAATAGGATGAGTTTCTGTATTTGTAACCAAAAAACGTTTTCGCATTTTGAAGACACAAAATGTTAACTGAATTTTACAAATTCGAGCATGAATTAAAATGCTAAAATATCGATGACAAAAAGAAATATAAATGTATTTAGTTGCACTTAATGGTTATAGTAAATATATTTAACTACTAAATAAAGGATGCGCATATACGCGTACACACTTAATCCACTACTTCATCCAAAAGTTCAGTACAGAAAAAAATTGTTGAAATAGAAAGTGTTAACGATGGTGTAAAATCGCATGTTAATTGACGCAAGTAATTGACTATAAAATAGAATCATGTCTACAAAACGTGTCTGCTCCATCCATGTTTGTTTCAAAATTCTACCCTAATAATACCTGTTTTTTATAAGTATATAGAGTTCAAACTGGAAGAATTCGATTACAAAATCTTAGACGAAATAGAAATGCAAAATATGAACGCAGGATACCTTTTTAGGCAAAGATAATAAAACTTCAAAAATTATTGACCAAGCAGACAAGTTAGTTGGACAACATGAAGCACATTGCTGATCTAAGTTGATTGAACTAAAGTTGCTCTAAGCGACCTACGTCTAGGGGTAGGAAATGAGAGGAGACAATATGTATTGACTACTATACAAATTAGAGCTCTCTCTGGCATAGAGTATAATTCAAATGTATTTGCACATATCTGCCAAGCTAGTAGTCAACAAAATAAGGCAAATTTGGTGTTTTAAATTAGCAGACCAGACGGACAAACTAAATTGCGGTGTGTAACAGTTGAATCTAGACATTTATTGATCGTAAAATAATGAATCGATTTATAATATTGCATTTAGTTTAAAGAACGATACGTAGTTAATTTATTGCTGCTATAAAATATAAATCGGCAATTCCACAAATTTAGATTTACTTGCATACCCCAAGATTTTCTACAAGGTTGTCTAATGCAAAACAGAAAAAGTTAGTATTTTATTACAGTTATGCATGGTTTATCAACGGTTTATGTAGCTTGGTCTCATAGCTATTATTCGTTTTCCTACGATTAGTACACGTTTTTATTGCTTTACCCGTGAGGAGTTGCAAGCCCCCCATCTGGCGCTTCCCAGGTGGAGAATAGAGAAATACCTCACTTATACATGGTGGTTTTTTAGTGCGAGAGAGTCCATTATTTCCGTTGGTGCTGAACTTTCGAAAAATAGTTTCAATTAAAAGTTGTTGACGCACACAGTGCGCACATTTTAAAAATATTTTATATGATACAGAGTGTCTCAGAAAAGCGAGGCAAGATTAAAGTGTATTTTTTTAAATATAACTACCCATTTTTCATTACCTCATGGAATGCAGGTTGAAACGTTGCACATGCACCGCAAATGGTTTTTTTCTTACTTGCGATGTTGGCAGATTATCGCCATTTTATTAAAATTTTGTTTAAAAACATGGTATCTAAAAATTAACTGTAGAAACCAAAAAAGCAGTTAAAGATACAAAAAATACGCCTTTTCATCACCACGGATCCGTTAAGAATTCTATTGAACCAAAATATCAATACAGTGTACAAATTGTACAGAGTATTAACAATGTGGACTTAAATCTGAAACTTTTTAACGCAATATAACTTCTGTTTTTCAAATTAAAGTACCTGTATATTAATACGTCATTAGATAAAGAAGTTTTTTTTTTTTAATTTTCACAATTCAAACAGTCTATTTTGTAAATTACATTAGGCGTTTCTAACTTGCCAATCCTAGGTTTAAATTTTGTGAAACATTTATTTGCTAAGGTGTTTTTAGTTTTTTCTGCTATGTTGATATTATGTGATTTGAATATATTTTTTATTTTTGTGTTAATTTCCGGAATATATGGTA